AAGCCACCAGCTCTGTGATTCAAACTATTGTCAGCTGTGTGGGAGTCCAGCGCTTTAACCACCATTCCATCTGTTGGCCCCTACACTTACTTGCTTTTGTTATTCATTTTTAAAAAATATGTATTACTTAGGGACCAGCAGTTGGAGTAATGGCTATGTCACTGGACTGCCATGTAGTCAACTGCGGTTCAAGTCCCAGACCCGGTGGCCTAAACTCATGCCCAGCGCGTGTGTGTGTGCCTAAGATCCTGAGAGGAAAATGGAGGAGAAGGGATTTTAGCATGGCCATTCCGCCTGGGGGGTGATTTCTCGCTTTTTGTCTCTCTGTCTCTCTCCATCTTTCCTTTTTTCTGTCTCTCTAGCAAGCACAGGTATTCTATAACAAATTAAAAAAAAAAAGGTAAATAATTTAAATAAAAAGTCACTCGAGGTTGGGTGCAGTTGTACAACTGTGGTCCCTATTACTTGAGAAGCTGAGACAGAAGGATTGTGAGTTTGAGGACAGCTTGGGCAACACAACAAGACTCTGACTCTAAAAACAGAAAAAGAAAAAAGAAAATTATTAGATAGGTTCTACAGAGCGGCCAGCCTGCGGCCTGGTGGTTAAGAGAACTGGATCCCACAGAGCCGACCATGTAGTTCAGCTAGTGGATCCAGTGGCCCGAGAAATATGCTGAACGCTGGGGCCTGCAGGTGGCGTGTTGGTTAAGGGCGCTGGACTCCCGTATGGCCACCGCGTTTTGAGTCCCACACCTGACGGCTTGCTTTCTCACTTTCTCTCTCTCTCTCTTGTCCCTCTCTGGTTAAATTAAAAATAAATAAAGTTAATAAAATAATTATAGAAAAAAATATGCTGGGCACATGTACATACGTACCCAAAATCCTGGCAGGACAGAGAAATGGATAAGAAGGGATTGCTGTGGGACCAGCAGATGGTGTGATGGTTAAGGTGCTGGACACTCCCATGTGGCCTGTCACGGTTCAAGTCCTGGACCTGGTGGCTTGCTTTCTCACTTTCCGTCTCTCTCTCTCTCTGCGTGTGTGTCTCTGTCTGGTAAAATTAAAGTAAATGAATGAATAAGTAAAATAAAATAAATAATTAAAAATAAAAGAAGGGATTGCTGCATAACCATGCCCCACTGGGTGGTGCTTTCTCCCTCTCTCTCCTTTTCTCTGTCTCTGTCTCTCTCTCGTGCCATGTGCATATGATCTCTGGAAAAAAAGAAGAAGAAGAAAAAGGAGAGGAAGAGGAGGGAGAAGAAGAAGATGAAGAAGAAAAGGTTCTGCAGAGGGCCAGCTCTGTAGCACAGAAGTTAAGCACTTTTTGGAAGGAAATACATCCCACGTGGCTCACTGAGATTTGAATCCTGCACCTTGAAAACATATGAGGGGGATGGTTGGGGGCAGCTGCTGCGGTCCTGTGGGTTGGCCAGCCCGAGTGGCAGTGACAGGGAGGAATTTGACTCTGAAGACTTCTCCATCTCCAGAGAAGACGAGGACTATGTGCTGTCGGGTAGAGAGTATAGTGACGATGATGTAAGCGAATTAGTGAGGGAAGATGGAGTGGATGATGAAGAGCAGACACAGAAAACCAAAGGGAAAAAGAGAAAGGCTCCAAGCATT